CCCCAAAACCCCAAAACCCCAAAACCCCAACGTATTTTAAATAAATTGAAAAATTAACATGAATTTATAATAAAAAAGATTTAGGATAAAAAAAAATAACATCATGGAAAACACGGAGATAGAAATTATAGAGAAAGAACAGGAGATCAAGAATGATATCTTGAACACAACTAGCCACGACCCAAGCAGCTATGGATACAGGATTGATTATGAAGGCATAGTCTTGATAAAATTAAGATATGTTGGAAATGTAAGCATTTTTAATAAAAATATTTAGAGCATATGTAAAACTAGTTACTCTAAGTTTATCAAGTTAAAGGCTTATAATATTGAAGAGGAGGCCTTTGATTTTGAAATCCCTAAAGATCACTTTCATAGTAACTCATCTAAATTCTTTGATTTATATTTGTGTAATTATAGAAAGAAGACATAAAAAACAGAACGCCTTTTACCAAGTAAGTTTACTTTGTGATTCTCTTATTAAGAGATGCAAACTGAAGCAATACTTGAATTAATTTTGAACAGATGTTGTTAACAATGTCAATTTTCTTATCAATTCAAGAAAATTTCTACTTTAATTCCCCAGAAAAATTAAGAAGAGATACAAAATAAAACACGCATTTATATACCTCCTTAGCATTAAAAGTAGTAATAGATTAATGAATTATAATTTTTCTATAGCTCTCAAACCTCTCAGAATTAAGGATCAGGCATTATTTTTACAAAGCTAATTTTGGATTCAGCGACCTTGGCCCTGGTGCATTAAAGATGCTCTCCAAGATCACCAAACAACTGACTTTCAGCTCCATCAAGTTCTCTTCCAAGAGTCTAAGTCTACTCTTCACCAGCATTGTCAGTCTCAAGAACCTGAACCTGGAACAGTGCACCCTCGACTTGTCTCATCTCAGACTGCCGATCAAGCGCGAGATTGGTCTGGAGGCGATGACCATTTGGGAGTGCTTCTTCACTCAGGACGAGCCCAAGATGAGCATGGAGGATCTGGAGATCTTGCTGAAGTTTTTGGCCAATCATCAATTTGGAAAGCTCAGACTTCTTACTCTTCAGAACCACCACTTCGGATTCTTTGATCTCAAAAAATCGATGATCAAATGTCTTGGAATCACTAGCAAACTGAAAGTGGATATTCCAAAACCCAAGAAGTTTGGGCATAATGCTTTTGGATGTGTAGTGTTTTAAGTGACCAATAAAAATTGCTTGCTCAATTATTAATTCGTCACCTCAATTATTGGAATTAGGCTAGGGGTTTTGGGGTTTTGGGGTTTTGGGGTTTTGGGG